AAACATCGATGGGAAGCCAATATTCTGCAGATCCCAAATCTTTTCAATCCCATAAATCAAGCCAATCACCCCTTTAATGCATTGGTCCGTTGGAGCCTTCTTTGGCACTATAAAAAGGGGTGTTTGGGTCTGCTTTTCTCACCAATTCACTTCACAACATCTATACTTTCATTGCATTCAAATATCATCATTTTCCATAGCTTTCTAGAGCCATTTGTGTGAAGGTTGAGTTGTTCTTGAGCGTACTTAGTTTACTCATAATCTACTCTATAAGAGAGTCTCGTTCTTGAGTGTACTTGTGTTCTTAGACACGTTGAGAGATAGTATCTCTCTCGGTTGATTCAAAGGAAGGTCTGTTTCCTTTGAAGGATTCGTTGAGGTTCGTGTGACTCGAACTCTCAAGTTGTAACGGTTTGTTAAGCACCCGTAAGCTTAACGAGTTAGTAGTGTAGCTCGAGAGAGTCTCTCGGGAGGCTGGATTAGCCACAAGTTGTGGTGAACCAGGGTAAAATTCGGTGTGCCTCTTACTCTTCTCTTTACTTCTCTTTTAATTTTTTAATTCCTGCGATTTCTCCGATCAAACGCTATTCACCCCCCCTCTAGCGTTGGTCTCTTATTCTAACATTTACCCACACTATGTTTTGTCGGTAATTCATTTTTTAGCGACATATATGTTTTGTCGGTACTTCTCTCTTTTTTAGCGACATATTTGATCTGTCGCTATTACACTATTTTAGCGACAGTATATTTTATCTGTCGGTAATACTTTTACTGACGGAGTTTTTAGCGACAGACAATTATCTGTCGGTAAAAGCGAGTAGCGACAGATATTTAACCTTTAGCGACATATTGACCCCTGTCGGTACAGCCCTCTTTTTTTGTAGTGCTCTAAATATCATAAATTTTAGTTTTTAAATATGTCTCTTAACCCGTTCGGTCAACCTAAACCCAAACTTTTGATATAATTTTTAAAGATTTAATTTTTTTTATTTTATATACCAATTTGTAAACAAAATCATTGTAAAATTCACAAAATTTTGCACGTCACTCGAATAGGAAATATACTTTGGAATGGAGAAAGTATAAAATAAGGGATGATTGAACTATAAAAGTGTTAAATAGAGAAAACAATGCTATATATAATTTGATCATTTGATCGAGTATATTAAGTTTATGGTATGATTTAACTACCATTGGTGCTCATTTGATCGAGTATATAAAAATAGAGAAAACAATACATTATTTTTAACTATTTATCAGTATATGATAATTTTAATTATATTATTGAATACAATTTAGAAACAAATGTGTCACCATGACTTCCTATGTTTACACTAGCATTCCTTACGGTTTCACCATCATTGACAAATTTTAAATATGAAATAGAGATCTTCATTTTTATTAGAGTATTCTTTCTTAATATTATATTTTTTTACTTCATTTATAATAATACTTTGAGTAAGTTTCATATTTTATATGATATGCCGAAATGAAGATAGTTTTTACTCTATTTATTTAAACATTGATGTAAAATAAAAATATATATTTTAATCTCTATTTTAAAATTATATAAAACAAGAAATGCTTTGACTACTATTTAAAATAATCAAGTATTTAAATCAAATAAATATTTAATATGAATTTTGTATTTTATGTTGGTAATTCGACTTACTATTTTAATCAAAATAAGTTTGTATTTTAACTTACCATTTTCATAAGGTGTAACTTAATATTTATAAATTTATATTGTGTAAGTATTCACTATATTTATGCATGAAGATAAGAAAATTTGAATGAGAGGACTCGCTTCATTCCTACACTTTCATTTGCATAATTATACATAGAAACGATATACGATAATGTTTTATGAGACCGAAAGAGATGACATAGATGTATGCAAAAAAAATTGTGATAAGGAAGATCAAAATACGGAGGTGAGCGTTAGAAGATCTGTGACAATGAAGATGAGTGTAAAGGCAATAAATAAAGCAAGAAAAAGTGCGGAGAAGATCCAAGGTGCAAAAACAAATAACATCAAAACTTGGATACAAAGCACATCAAAGAGAAATATAATTTCCAATTTGTAACTATTTATAATTTGTTAGAACATTTTGTATTGATCAGAATGCTAGTATGCGTTTGAATGATTTTGCATTTTAAAGCAAAAAATATTAAAAAGAATAAACAATAGTAATTTTTTGTAAATTTCCCTTTATAAATCAACCAAAAATAGAAGTAAAAAAATATTACGAAATAAAAGTCACATCTTTTTATCTACAAAATGGTACTATTGCAATATAATGTGACACTGTATATTGACATTTCATTGTAATTTTTGTATTATATGTTGGTCTTATTGATATTATAGTTCTTATTTTGCAGATAAAACATAAAGATTCTATTTTGGTTATTTTCTTATATTTTATTTCTATTTTAATCTTTCTCTTTTTTCCCTTCAGAATCATTGTAGCACTTCTTTTTTATTAATATTTTTTTTCAAAATTGATACGGGAAGAAGAATTGTTGTATTTTAATTTTTTTTAGATGAATATTTTCAATAGTAGATTCATAGAAATTGAGTGATTAGTACCTACTTTTATGAATCATAATTATTACCTACTTTTTTAAAGTTTGATGGACATAATTTTATCATCACCATTCATGGGATATAATCTGATGCGTAAGATTTATTTTCATTTCTTTCATAAATGACCATTCTTACGGGAACCGGCTCATATATATATATATATATATATATATATATATATATATATATATATATATATATATATATATATATATATATATATATATATATATATATATATATATATATATATATATATATATATATATATGAATGCTTGGTAGTGGTTCCGACGAGATTAATTCTAAGTAAGTAGGACTAGTAGCAGAAATGGGCCAGTTCCATGTCTTCTTCTTTCCGATGATGGCTCAGGGCCATATCATCCCAACCTTGGACATGGCCAAGCTATTCGTCTACCGCGGCGGCGCCAAGGCCACCGTCATCACCACCCCGCTCAACCTCCCCTCCCTCACCAAATCCATCCAAGAAACAAACCACCTCGGGATGGACATCTCCGTCCGGGCAATCCCATTCCCCGCGGCGGAGGCCGGGCTGCCCGAAGGCTGCGAGAGGATTGACCAGGTGGCTTCGGAGGATTTAATCCCCAATTTCTTCCGGGCCACGGCCATGCTCCAGGAACCCCTGGAGCGTCTCCTCCAGGAGGTCCGACCCACCGCCCTGGTCGCCGACATGTTCTTCCCGTGGGCCACCGCAGCGGCGGCGAAATTCGACATCCCCAGGCTGGTGTTCCACGGGATAAGCTACTTCGCGCTGTGCGCGGCGGAGGTCGTCCGGAGACACAGGCCCCACAGGAGCGTCGCCTCGGATTCGGAGCCGTTCCTGGTGCCCCACCTCCCCCACGAGATCAGGCTGACCAGATCTCAGCTGGCGCCGCACGACCGGAAAGGATCGGAGAGCTTCATGGCGGAATTGCACCGGAGAATCAAGGAATCGGAGGCGAGAAGCTTCGGGGTGGTGGTCAACAGCGTGTACGAACTGGAGGCGGATTACGCGGAGTACTACGGGAAGGTGCTGGGGAAAAGGGCGTGGCATATTGGCCCTCTTTTGCGCTGCTGTGACACCAAAATTAAAGAGAAAGCTGCGAGGGAAGAAGAAATCGCAGCAATTGCTGCGCCTTTGACGCCCCCCTCATCTGATTCCGAAAGACCAACAAGACATGACTGCCTCAAATGGCTCGACTCCAAGAAGCCAAATTCGGTATGGTCAACATAATACTTTCTCGCTTTCAAAATAATAACAAAAACAAAGTAGTTTCTAAATTCTTTGGACTAACTAAAGTCACTAGACTAACTAGACATACCCTCAAATCAAAAATATCAAAATATGACTTTGACAATATGACATTTTAATATTGATATTCTGTAGTGTTTTTTAGGTATTAGTATAAGTTCACATTACATCTCATATTTATTAAAAAAAAAACGAAGGTTTTTCTAATACATTGATTTGGTGTTAATTTTTAGTGTTAAAAATTATCCCAGTCATTGATTTGGTTTACTTTATTTATTTTCTTAAATGCTTTTAACCATTAATAAATTTTACTAATTTATAAATTTAATTAAGCTAGCCCGAATTTACAAAAAAATAAAATTTTTTTGAAAAAATCCCAAGTTAATTAAAAAATTAAAGTTAATACATAAACTAAATAGTATGTTTGGGAACACGAATTTAGATTTCAAGTCTGGATTTGGTTAAAATTCCTTGTTTGTGAAATTTAAAAATTTTGGGTTTGGATTTGCTTCAAATTACTCTTATTAATAACAAAACTTAATTTGAAATCCATGCATCTTCCCTTGTCATTTGAAATTCAAGATTTTAAATAATGGAATTGAAATCCATGAATTGAAATGAAATGCTAGTTTCCAAACACTACATAAAAGAATTGGTTTTATACGACCGATTATTAATTTTTTTTGTTTTATTTTGTACTTAGGAAAGAATGGTTTCTACGTGTTTTGTTTTGTTTTTCAACATAATTGTGAAAAGTTTTTATTTTTTTGAAAATAATTGTTGTTGATTACACGTGTCTCATTTTCATTAGATGAGTTGCATTCACTAAGTGGGTCTAAGATTTTAAAGACTCTTTTCCCGTTTTCTCTCCATCCCAATGTTAAAATCTCAAGAAAAGAGTTCTAAGATTTACTCAGACTCTCTCCAGACTCTCGAGACTATTATTGGAGATCACTCAGTCCATCATACAAACAACGACACCTATGGTGTTTTGTTTCATAAAATTAATACTTTATTCTTTATTAATTTTAGAATTAAGGACTAAATATAAAAAAAAAATTATACTACTTGGTCCGTCCCTGAGTGTTTGTCCACTTTTGACTTTTGGAACTGTTCATCTAAGCAATTTGACTCATCAAATTCTCTCAATGTGTAAGCCTAAAAATAGTCACGTGTGATCTTGTTTGATTTGTCTTAACATATAGATTATTAATATATAATTTTTATAATTTTTTAATATACAAATTACAAGATAAAATGGATTAAAGAAGTGTATTGGATGATGTGCAAAACTGAAAGTGGACAAACACTCAGGGACGGAGGGAGTATGTACTTATTAAGAATCATTTATAGAATCAAAATATTTCATATTGGAAACGAGTGACACTTGTCTGATCTTTGTCCGTAGTTTTTTTAGGTTGTTGTCAATTGTCATTCCATTGTGAGTTTTAGTTCCAGGAGGGGTCCATGGTCTACAAAGTACATATTGACATTTACGGTTGTCCATTTAGCGTTTAAAACCACACTCGGTAGAAAGAATGAATGATACTCCGTATTTGTTACAGTAGTTTTTAGTTTTATTGATTTTTTGCAATAAAAAAAAGGATTGTAAATGTTTGGTTACCACATTCAATTTTAAAGCCACATTGGACCTTAGAACACTGGAAATACGTTTGAAGTCTCGGGGTTTCAAACCGGGGCTTCAAACTTTCTCTCTCTGCCACGTCAGCTTTAACTTACATAAAAAATTCACTGGAAATGGGTTTGAAGCCCCGGGGCTTCAAACTTGGGTTTCAAACCTTCATTTTTTACATTTTTAAATATACATCTTCTAAATTTAAATTAATAAATTTAAATTAATTTATTATTTAATTATATTGAAACACGAATACAAAAAAATACATTCATTAAATTTAAAGAAAATTGAAACGACAATAATAAAAAGATACATTAATTAAAAAAACTAAGGTAAATTATATTTCGCCTTAATCTCTCTTTGTCTTTGCTCGTAGATCATCCGTTTGAAACCTGACAACGTAGAAATGTCGGTTTCCATGATTTTGAATAAAAAAAATTACATTCATTAAATAAAAATTGCATTCATTATAAAAAAAATTACATTAATTAAATAAAAACATTACATTCATTAAATAAAAAATTACATTCATGAAAAAATAAATAAAATACTTGAATAATAATTTTTTTTAAAAAAAGATGATAGATAGAGAGAAGTTTGTATTTGTGTTGAATTTTTTAAAAAAATTAAATTTAATTTATAGAGAAGAAAAGAGGAAAAAAGAGGGAGAAAAAGGAAAGAAGAAGGCGTGATAATGCCTTCAAACCGCATCAAAAATTTAACGCAAGTATTTTAACGCACTTTTAACTGGGGAGGGGGGCGGTGTTTAACGCCCCCCAGGCGTCAAAATGGTGATAACACTGCTCGGCGTTAGGAGTAGTACCAGTGCTCTTAGATTCATCATAACAAAAAATGAACTAACCAAACTGTTTGAGTTATTTTATGTCTAGTTTAATCCAAGGGATAGTTCCAATGACAATGTGATTTAATGTAATGGCATGACATGAGCCCAAATTGGTGCACATACATTACACAATTTATAAAATTGATGATTTCTACTCTTTTTAATGTCGGGTAATCTTTCCATCCTGGTCCGACCCGAACTCATGTACCATCTTCAATTACACTCCTTAAAATTAGTGGACTTTAAAGTTTAAAAAACTTAAGATTTGTCAAACACACTCTTAATAAAATATACTCCTTATGTTCTATAATTATCTTCCTTCTTTTCTATTTGAGTTGTTCTAAAATTTTCATTTCTCTTTCCATATGTGGTTCATATCAATTTTCTTTCTTCTAAACAAACTAAATCACCAACATTTCATTTTATTGAAAATAATGTCAAATTAGACATGAGTGATAATTTCGAGACTCAAGAAGTATTTGGGTTATGTCCCTCAAAGACATGAATTTCCTAAGAACAAATGTGGCCAATCATTTTTATAAACTTATACGGAGTATATAGAACAAAAATTTCACGAGTGACACTTGTCTGATATTTGGCCATAGTCTTTTTTTTTTAGGTTGTTGTCACTCTTTATTTGAGCATTAGTTTGAGGAGGGGTGTCCATCGTCTAGATTTAAATTGACATTTACGGTTGTCCATTTAGTTTCAAACCACACTCCCAAGAATTGAATGACGCGTATTGTGGACGTTTTATGAATTTTCTCCCCGTTTAAATAGCCTGTTTCAAATCATTTTATTTAAAAAGTAGTTTATAATTAAAAAATAAAAATTACATATTAAAAAATCACATAAAAAATCTACAAAACTAGTGATGACATATTATATGATTTTATCAAATGATTAATAAAAATAAAGGAAAAAGTAAAATGTAATGTGACCATTCGAATAGTAAACATGCAATTTAATTTGAATGGAGAAAATATTTTTTTAATCTATTTTTTGCTAGAATTTTCTCACTTCAAAAGTAAAAAAAATATCAAGGTAATAAGCATTCAGTTATCATTCTCATCTGTCGGTCAATACAAGAGATTAGATCTACCACAGCATTTACCAAAAAAGCACAAACCAATTAATTAGAGTTATTTTTTGTTTTTAATCAAGTTTCTCATACGGAGTAGGTAAATTCTATGAGCACCTAATATCAGTGAGATGATAAAAGTTTTCCATCCAACTCTTCCGATTAGTTTTGTCCGTTTCACAAACCGGTGGGTTCGGTTTTAGGTGCAATTCAAGGGAAAATTATATTGTATGTACCCAATTTTGGATACAATCAAGAAATTATTTATGTTATGAATTTTATTTTTATATGAGAATGAACACTAAGTTATTTGATAATGAGTACTGTTTTAGAATGAACACTACATTATTTATTGATGAATATTATAATTATATTGAACTAATGTGCGAAAATGAGTACTGCATTATTTTAGAATGAGTACCACGCTAATTATATTTCTGCGAGAATGAGTATTACTCTATTTCAGAATGAGTAGTACCCGGATGTACCGCACATCCGGTTATACCATATACCAGGGTGGGGTAGATTCGGGTCCGGCCAGGGTGAGTTTGGGAGTGGTAACCATCATTTAGTTTCTCCAACTGGTTTCAGTTTCATCTCTAAATTAATGGTGTCCTTTTAAATTTATGCATAGGTGATCTACATATGCTTCGGAAGCATGTCAAACTTCACGGCTTCGCAACTACGCGAGCTAGCAATGGGCCTAGAGGCGTCCGGGCACCAATTCATATGGGTGGTGCGGAAGGGGAAAGATTCGAACGACAAGGAAGGCGACGAAGGATGGCTCCCGGAAGGATACGAAGCGAGGGTGGAAGGGAAAGGGCTGATCGTGAGAGGGTGGGCCCCGCAGGTGCTGGTTCTCGACCACGGCTCCACGGGCGCGTTCATGACGCACTGCGGCTGGAACTCGACGCTGGAGGGGATATGCGCGGGCGTGCCCATGGTGACGTGGCCTCTCTACGCCGAGCAGTTCTTCAACGAGAAGCTGGTGTGTCAGGTGCTGGAGGTTGGGGTTGGGGTTGGGGCGAAGCAGTGGAGCCGGGTGACGGACGGCGTGAAGGGCGGGGATGTGGCGGCGGCGGTGAAGAGAGTCATGTCCGGTCAGGAATCGGAGGAGTTAAGGGGCCGGGCGAGAAGTTTGAAGGAGAAAGCGCTGAGAGCCATAGAGCCAGGCGGTTCCTCCATCTCTTCTTTGGACTCCCTCTTGCACGACTTGACCACCTATAACAAACCTTCTCCCAAAGTCATGTGTAATGGAAAGGTTGATGGAGGCTTGATGATGTGTAAAGAAGTATGACGTTGAGTCATGGGACTGAAGGTGTGTGTTATTATAATTGGTTGAAATACAAGTGTCTACGTTAATTCTTGATTGGTTTGAGATTTAAAAAAATAAAAAGAAAGGGAGAGGCAACGCTCTGATGGTGGTCACCCCCTTCGGGTCACAAACGGAAGGAGGCACGACAATTTGGGCGTGGTGCGGCGCGAAAGAGTATCACGTCTCTCCTCATTGCAGATAGTGTAAGTAATGAGAAAGGCGACCGATTAGTGTTTGTTTTTTCGAAGGAAAATGTTATTGAGGTCCAATGACCCACAAAAGGTCATTGTTAGTTTATTAGGTGAATTCTACGATTCAATGTGTATGTCGTTATTCTTCCCTTTGATTGTTTGATAAAACTTCCCTTTGTTAGTTTATTCTCAATTCTAAGTAATAATGAAAATAATACAAAGTGGTGGTACCCGAACATGTTGATATACTCATATACCTCTTGTTAAAAACTTTGTTGTAGTAAGTGTTGTTGGCGAAAAGGCCCAATAGCCACGGGCTAGCCCAAATCATTCGCGCTCCGATGATAGACACCGACCGATCAACACGTATCCCAATCAACAGTCGAGCTCGGGCTATAACAGATGTCGTGCTAGTCCGTTGGGACATGCTTGGGCACGTTAAGAATCACCCTAAAATCCAGACGAGGAGTAAATCAAGAACCATCTTAAGTCGGGCCAATCACGTCAGCCACATCTACCCATCATGACGACCTTCGTACAACACATTAAATGCGGAGGCAATGTTTAACACGCATGCTCGCCGCCGGCAAGCATGCTACAGTGCCACCTACTGTAGAAGTATTCATGCTTTCCCACCAATTCCCCCACAAAACCTCCTCTCTATTAATAGAGAAGGGAAGGAAAGGAGAAAGAGATAGATTGCATCTTAGAGAGAGAAAATGAGAATGATATTAAACTAAATTCACGCTTATTGTATTCAGGGATAGGCAATCGAGCCACACCCTCTTATCCCATATCCCAATATTCAATAAATAAAATAAAGAGAGTTCCTTATTCCTGACACCCACTTGGGTGCTCCTCAATTCTAAGACATCTATGTTAAGCCAGGCCCAAAAGACAATGTTGAGCTTTTGGGCTCTCTCAAGGCATTAACACCAGCACTGGCGCCATCCGTGGGACTTTTTGAAAAAGCTTTCTCCCAAGAATTGCGATGCCAGAAATATCTGACACCCCAGCAGTAGGAGCTCCAACAACTCCCCTTCGTCGGGCAGTGTGTCGATGACCACTACATCCGACTTGCAGCATTCCTTGTCCTCAAGGAGGCAAGGCTCGACCACCAACGACCAGCCCTCATTTCCCTCTTCTAGGGCGCAAATGCTATCTAGGGGAACACGCAGCCAAGTTAAAAGCGTCCCACTACTCCGTGGCTTAATTCGAGAGGATGTCCTGTGGCCACCCTAGAGGTGTTACACGCGGTAGCTCAAGCCATGGAGGCACGGGCCCACCAAGAGAGCCAGGCGCTGCAAGCCTGCCAAGCTGGTTCTGCCTCTATGGGACGAAGACGCAGTCGGAGGAACCATCGAGAGCGGGCCCCATCCCCCATACAACGTATGCTAGACCTTGATGAGGGGGCCTAGTGGATGGAGGAGGGATCACAGTCAAGGACTTGGGTATTCTCTCGAATGGGATAGGGATCGACACAGGACTTGTTTTTATAACATTATATCCTATATATATATATATGTAAAAGAGGGTTTCAAAGTTGTGGTGACGACACGTGTCATGCCACACGTGCATACTAATGACACGTGTCCCGCCACGCGTATATCACATGACACATGTACGTCCATCCATGCATGTGAGTTAATTTTGTATTAAATAATTCGTATTTTTATTTTTTATAAACTCTTCACTTTCCAACAATAAAAAACTATTATTTTTATTAACTTTTTATAAACTCTTCACTTTCTGACTATGTTAAAACCAATTTATTGTTTTGACGTATCTTAAAAATATATGCACGATTATTTTATAATTTTAGAAAACTTATGTATATAATTTATTGATTAAAAAGATGTTGCTTATAATTTTTAAAATTATCCATCATATCAAAAAAAAAACTAATTACATATAAATTTTATCACACGTGCATCTTTATTAAATTCATAACATATTTTAGTTGTTTTTCTTATTACATTACTTATTTTACTATATTTTTTTCAGCAAACTAAACAAAGTAAAAATTTAATTGAAGGATTACATGTGGCACATACAAATATGCATTATCTAATGATGTGACATTCCTTAATTGATCTATTCGAGATTTTTATATTAATTTTTATTAATTAAAACAATTTTCATTATTATTTTATTTGATGACCATTAATTTTGCATAAAATGTTTATGTCATGGAGGCACTACACCTCCCCACATGTC